TGAGCAGCTCCGTGGTCTGAAAGGGCGGGGAAACAGCCCAATGAGCATCACCGCAGAGGAGCCAATCAGTTGGCAGCTAGAAGTTTGCTGGGGCCGCTGTGAGCCAATCATCAGCTGGCAACTGGAAGTTTGCTGGGGCCCCTTCGGCTGTGGCTCTCAACACACCTCAGCTACCAGCCTCCTTCTGGAGCCAGAGCCCTCACACGGGGTTGTCAGGTGTGGCCGTGGGGCTGTGCTTCCTTTTGCCAGAAGAAAACTAAGAGTAGGCATGAAATTTGTAGGTAAGTGTTATTTTAAGCCAGGAAAACTCTGACCTTTCTTACCAGGAGGTGGGTTCTGCCCAGGTCCTTTCTCAGCATTCCCTCTCTCTCAGAAAGGCAGACAGCAGCCAGTGCCCTGTGGGCTGGGGACAGAAGCTCTGGGCTCAGCAGCCACACACTCTGTCTGTGAGCCCTGTGAATGGGAGAGCCATCTTGGCAGAGGGCTTTGTGTAGACGGTGGGACCTGGTATTCAGAGGGCGGTTCTGATGTCAGCTTCCACTCATAGCACGACTTCTGGAGTGACTGCTTCCACTCTAATGGATGATTGTAGAACAAAATTTTAATGCCTGGTGGCCACAGCTGGAAAGAGAGTAAAGTTCTGTTCTTGTGTGCGCTCAGAAACATGCAGCTTTCTGTTGGATTGTGAGGAAGGTTTCTGACTCGGGATGTCATGTTGTTTGGTGCAGGAAGCAGAACCCACGATCATGACCAGTGGAGGAGGTACTAGTGTCCCCACCTGCATCCCCAGAAGTGCCGGGAGAAGCTGTCTACCACTGAGTCTTGCCGAGTGCCCGGCTTCCCAGGGCTCACATGCTGCTGGATTTGTCTACTGAGTTCAAGACAAGTTCACCTCCTGCAGTTCAGATAAGGAGGACGCAGCACTGAACCCCACCCTGCCCAGCTGCACCTGCAAGGAAAGTGGCTGTGGGACCAGAGTTCACTTGAAAAGAGAAAAGACCCTTGCCAGCGACTTCTCCCCATGTGTCCCGGGTTATGCTTGATTGCACGGCCCAGAACAGTCTTCATTAACTTCTGTGTTACGTAACATGTGATTGACGTCTTTCTCCAAGAGATTGGCGCCTGACCTCACCTGTTCTTTAACTGGACACTACATTGTGAGGATACTTCCCCATGTCCCTGCGAGGCGCTGGACGTGTGGTATCTGACAGTCACGTGGCATTTCACAAATTGTTTTCTCGTTGGAAATTCTAACAAGTCAGGTTTCCAACTATTTCTTCGCTTGGTTCTTGGAAATGTTTGAAAGAAAGGAAGGAACAACTGGGCACGATGGCTTATGCATGCAATTCCAGCAACTTGGGAGGCTGAAGAAGGAGGATCACAAGTTTACAACCAAAATAAGGTCCTGTCTCAAAATTAAAAAAATTTAAGTAGGTGCCTGGGGATATGGCTCAGTGGTAAAGTGCTTCTGGGTTCATTCCTCAGTACCAAAAAAAAAAAAGAAGAAGAAGAAGGGGAAGGCACAAGTACACATACCTTCCCGGTGGGAGTTGTCCTGCTGGGGCAGGGCAGGCAAGGGGCTCACCTGGTCACTCTGCCTTTTCAGTTCTTTGAGCAGTGCACACGAGGGCAGGCTGGTTCTCAACAGCCAGATGGGAGGCCCAGGGCGATGACCCTGGGAGTGGTACACCCACTGCTCTTTTCCTCTGAGCAATGAAGAGCCTCTGTTTTTAAAAAATGTTTTAAATGAATCCAAGTTCAGAGTAGCTCTTTCCACAGAATTTTCAAGTAACCCCAGAATTGGAAATTGGACCCCCACCCTGTAGGAGCTTCACCTCTGGGGAGTGGAGGTGGAAAGCATTCAGGGTGRGGCTGAGAAGACTCCACTTGGTCCCTGAGAGCTGGCTGCCCCTGTCAGGGTCCTTCCCAGGCCACAGCACGGCTCTGGAGAGGCTTGGTTCTCTTAGGAAATGCTACCTTCTGGTTGCTGCTGTGTTCAAACTCAAACCCCAGCACACTGACATCCAGGTTCCCTCTGCACCTGAGGGAGTGCCCTGCCCAGCAACTCCACCTGCACGGAGCCCCCTTGCTGCTCGTCTTGTACTTGGCAAAGCAGGGTGTGATCTCCAGACGTTGAGCACATTTGTGTTTCTTAGGTTCGAAAACCCAGTGGCCACTTGGTGCAGCTGTTGCTGAGGATGTCCATGTGCCTGCTTATGCTTCATGTGAGTCCGCAGCGTCTACAGCTCTGCCTCCTGGCTTTGGAGATAGGTGTTTCCCACTTTTCCTGTGAGTGCCATGTACCTGAGTATCCATTTCCTGTTCATTCTCTCGCTCCTTTGAAACCACAGCTGCCTTTAGAAATCCTCTTTCTTTGCTGCTTGTGTGTGTTTCTGTGAAATAAATTTCTCACCCCTTAGACTGAAAATGGACTTCTGAGAAAGACATTTCCCTTCGTAGTCCCTAAATTCTGATTCATCAATAAAATATCTATGTTCTTTTCACAAGCTTAAGTTGTGTTGCTGTGACCTGCATTCCATTTGAAAACCAGGGCACTGGATGTTTTGTAATCTTAATATTGTTTATAAGTTATTTCTGAGTTTAGTTTTCTGATAGAATCTATATGTATCAATTTTTAATTGCAAAGATCGTTTACTCATAATTTACATTTTCTTAAATTTGGAAGACATTTCAACATTCAGTAAATTGGGATGTTTATGAAGAAAGAGAGGCTATTGGGAGGCCTGTGTCCCTATGGGATAGTCCCAGGAAGACAGAGGAGGTGCAGGCCCTGCACAGCTCCATATGTGTGACATGGCCTGAGACTGCACAAGACTTCATTTCCTGCATTCATATTATTGAAAAAAATGTCCTCTAGAATCAGAAGTTAATTTGTTGGGGACCCAAAGCTATGCAGAATGTTTCTGTATCTAACATTCACGAACCACACTCTGCTGCTACATGTACAGTGTTAGCGTTTGGATGTGAAGTGTCCCCAAAAAACTCACGTGTGAGACCATGCAGGAAGGTTTAGAGGAGAAATTTCACCCTTATAATCATATATCCTTAACCTAATCAGTTAATTGATTCCCTGATGGGATTAACTGAGTGGGGGCCTGAGGCAGGTGGCGTGTGGCTAGAGGAGGTGGTTCACTGGGGATGTGCTTGTGGGGTATATATTTTGTATCTGGTCAGTGGAGTCTCTCAGCTTCCTGATCATTCTTTGCCACACTCCTCACCCTGATGTCCTGCCTCACCTTGAGCCCCGAGGAATGCAGTCTACTGTCTATATACAGAACTCTGACACCATGAGCCCCCAAATCGACTCCTCCCACCCCTAAAATTGTTCTGGTCAGATCTTTTAGTCACAGCAGAGAAAAAGCTGACTAAAACATGGTATGTGTCTGTGCAAATCAATGTAAATGGATGGATCTAAAATTTTGACTGATGCTGTCAAATTACACTCAAAAACAGTGGTGTCCTTTCATCCCGGTCTTCACTGATGGGTCACACCAGGTATGAGTAGCCAGCTCTGTGCCTGACTCTCTAGTGCCATCTTCAGCCTGTGTGGCCCCTGCACCATGCACAGTGCATCACCCAGAACTGGGTGTGGGCCCACAGTGAGTCAGGAGTYCAGGCTGGGCATGGTGGTCACTGGCCACTCCACCACACATGGGCTCCCACTCMTCGCTCTTGCCTGCAAGGCTGGCGTGGACTTCCTCCCAGAGAGGCTCTGGAGGTGCAGGACGAGCGTCTCCAACGCTGCAGAGCCAGGCAGCAGTCCTGCCCTCTCACAGCCTTGCCTCAAGTCCTGCAGCATCTCGGTTTTGCCCTTTTCTTTTCACAGGTATCTAAAAAGGCCTGTCCACATTCAGGAGATGAAGCTGATACTCCTGCTAGGCAGGAGCAGGGTTCTGGAGGGTCTGCCATGGCCAGCCCCCCCCCAAAGTTCCCCCTGACCTACAGCAGCACACTGAGTCTCATGCCATCCAGCTGTCACCCGCCCCCCCAGGAAGCTGTGGTCCTTCAGCCTTCTCAGGGTTTTAGCTCTCTGCTTTCTCAGCTGTTGACTTCACCTGTAGCCTTGCTGCTCCCTCGTGACCTTAGCTTCAAACACTTCCCTGCAGCATCTAGAGTTGGTAGCCCTTCAGGCCTGACCGCCAGCCCACTGACCTGGCACGTGCAGCTGTGTGTCAGCCTGCCTGTCCTCGCTGCTTAGCCTCTGCCTAGCAGGTGGTTTCTTGTGTCCTCTGCTTCTGTATAGTCTTTCTGCTGTTGAGGCCTGGGCAAAGGACAGGTAGCTGATTATCAAAGAAAAGGAAATGAGTAGATTCCACCCCCATCTCCTGGTTACTAACAGCCTGCCGTGGGGGAGACACTTTCCAACACAAGCAATCACCCCGACACTCTCCTCCTGCCCTTTTGGTCAGTTTTTAAAAGGACAAGACTCTCTCTCCCTTCCTCTCTCCCTCTTTGCCTTAATAAAATTTACTTTTTGGTCTTGCCCCAGTGTTTCTTGGGTATTTGATCTTTGACACAGGGGGACCTGGTCCTAATTTTCCAGACTGGTTTCATGGTGAGACCACATACCTGGGTTAAACCCAACTCTGCATTTGGACTATGGCTAGGGAAAGCCCTACTGCCATCCTTGCTGTGCCCACCCTAAGTTCATGCTCCCCAGCCTCAGTGAGCCCTGCACTGCCCAGCACCGTCCATGCTTCTACTCTCCAGAGCCAGCTGCATGTGTCCCTCTGCTGGGTTCCATGTTCCTCCCACCCTCGAGCGCTGGGTCATCCGGTCAGAACTCACAGGCAGGGTGCTGGGGGAAGACACTCGGGGCAGCTTGAGACAATGTCCACATTTTGTCTACTCTTGGGCAGGGTGATCATGCATCTCCAGGAGAGGACTGAAGCTCTTGACCACACTGAGGCAACAGCCACTTCCTCTCTAACCCTCCTATCTTTCCAAGAGGAAATGGATGCTTCAGYAAAATGGACCCTTCATTTTAACAAGAATGCTGGGAGCAAGCAAAGAAATCAGTAAAATGCACAGGTATTGCCAGGAAATTACTAACCAAAAGCAAATAAATAAGCAAAAACAATTGGGAKACCAAAGTCCCAGGTTATTATAAGGAAAGTGATGTGTGTTTCTGGGTAATGTGATAAAAAGGCATACTACTTAGAACGTAGGTTTCTGTCAAATCCAGGTGTGTATACTAAAATGTATGTTACAGTGTGTGCTAAAAAGTAAGGAAATACACTAGAATTAAAAAAAAAAAGGCTCTTACCAATTTTAATCTTTATACTGAAATCATAAATTGAAATTTTAAGTAAATACAAGGAGAAATTGGTATAATGTTTTAACACATTTCACAGGAATCAACATGTCAAGTAGACCAAGAATAATGACATACGTTTGAACACGTCAATGAACAAGTTTGTTTTAAGAGATACATGTCAAGAGACGTCTTATTTTCACTCTTACAGAATACATGTAGACAGTTCATAATGACATATTAGACTCCAAATTAAACTTCAATCAAAATAATGAGAAGCAAATTTACTGAAATCCTACAAGCCATATTTTCTGTTTATAAGAAAATAATTATAAATCAACAAAAAAAGCAAAAGTCTTTCTACTTAGAAATTAACCATTCTAGAATACTTATTGAAGAAATAAAAGTCAGAACTTTTAAAAATCATTCCTGTTCCGCCATGTGGTAGAACAGGAAGACGTGGTTGAACAGGAAGAAGTGGTATCTGGGACCCACCTTGGTGACAGCTGCCCTGGCACAGGCTGTCTGACACTATTCTGCAACTCTGGAGCCTAAATTTGTGTGGATGCTAAGTTGTGGTTAATTCCCACCCGTGTGGCAGACAGCCTCGTGTGCCGCCTGTTGCAAGAGACCTTGACCTCTAAACACTGGGCTGCCAAGAAGCAGGAGCAGGCTGACCACCACTGTCCCACCCCTGACTGAAGTAACTCCCACAGGAGTTAGAGGAACAACACCTGTTGGCCTTCAGAGGTTTATTTTTGCTCTTTGGGGAACTAGATGTTTAAGGATCAGGACCTTCCAAAGCAACCACGTATCAGAGGAATTTGCAAAACCACCAAGTGTGGTCAGGGAAACAGAACTCTGAGAAGGTCTGAAACTGCCCCTTTAGGTTGATCACCAACACAGAGGCACTCTTTACCAATCCCAAAAGAATAAAAACAGAAAAACATGGATGCCTGAGGCACTTCCGGATCTTAGAGTCTCAACATGGACATGCACCAAAGGAACTTCCAGATCCTAGAGCCTAAACACATTCGCACAACTGAGGAACTTCTGGATCTGGGGGCCTAAACATGGAGGACGGAGGAACTTCCAGATCCCAGGGCCCAAAGATGGACGTGCACCTGAGGAA